CTCCCGACTCGAGCGGCGTCGGCCTCCTCAAGCTCGACATCGCTGCCGTGTACCTCGTCTCGACCTTCGCCGTCACAGGCACCGGCGCCATCATCCTCGCCGCGGCGCAGGAGTTTGCAGCGCAGCGGCAGCGCCAGCGGGGGGGCGAGGCGAGCGAGGCGGGGCGCGCGGGCGCGGCGGAGGGTGAGCAGGAGCCAGAGACGCTCTGGCACCTGGGCCTCTTCATCCTGCACGGCGCCGCGCCCGCCCTCGCCGAGCGCGCCGCAGCGGTCGTGCCGCCCTCCTCCTCCGCGTGGCGGCTGGCGCCGGGACAAGCGGACGGGGCCGCAGGGGGCGGCACCGGCGCGCGCGAGGAGGCGTTGCGCGCAAATCAACGTTGAGGTCCTGTGACACTTGTTAATCGTCAGGGGCGGGGAACCCGCAATTTGAAATGCTCCGGCATCTCAAATTGCCCGATACGATCTCCATTTTAATTGAGATTGCCTCGAGCATCCCAAGATGCATGAAGCAATTCAGGATGCGCGCGCATCCTGAATTGCTTCGCGCATCCTGAATTGCTTCATGCATCTTGGGATGCCTGAGGCAACCAAAGATGTCCACGACATCCCTGATTGAGCCATTACATCCTGAGATGCTGGCCGGAGGGCGCTGCATCTCAGGATGGCTGAATTGGCGTCGCCATCCCCGAGATGTGGCAAGCATTTTCAAATGGATATTTTAACCTCAGATAAATAAGACAATCCAGAATGCGCGCGATGTGCGACGAGGCCTAATAGTCCGCAGCGCCCCCAATGGTGCGCCGCGTGGAGGGCGAGCTCTCCCTCTCCCTCTCCCTCTCCCTCTCCCTCTCCCTCTCACTCTCTTTATTCTCACTCGTCCTATTGCAGTCCATCATCCTCTCCCTCTATCTCTACAACTACGCACCCGATCCAACTCGTGTCACTCATTGATCGCGAGCGTGAAGCCCCTATTCGACCCATGTCTAGTGTCAGCCCGCCCACTCACCACTAATCGGGAGCAGTGTTTGAAGCT